AGCTCCCTCGGCAAGTTTTATGAACAACAGACTGAAGACTTGGGGTTTAATTAATCTGCACTTTGATCACTAGACTAAATACCTATAATCACTTTCATGACTATGTAGGTCTTGCATTACCACTATTTGCAGCTCACCTGCATGAGACTCCTGCACTGAGCAGCAGGCAATCAAAGGGAAGCAGAATTTAAGTTAAAAGCACAGGAAGCCTAAGCACACAGAGAACCAGGGTCCATCTCCCCTCGCAGCAGTGTCTGACAGCCTGCAGGAGCTCACACCTAGAACAGCCAATAGCTTTAGCTGGCTGCAGGTGTTCAAGTGTACACAAGCTCTGTGTTCATCTCTCATGTCCATGCATTGCAACATAACTTTAGCAGCTCGTTCACCTCTGGCACATTACCTGTATGCAATACCTTCATCCTCCTTCAGCACTCCATAGTCTTTGGCAATGGCACGTTTTGTGTCAGAAACCAGGGGGATTTTCATAGTGCCCAAACCTCCCTGTTTCTTAGGAGTGTTGACCCTAAAAGAAGAAAAATTACATGTTAAAAACATGGGCAGTTCAGAATGAGGGCTTAAAGTACAACAGAAGCAGATCCTTTCTGCAATATCATACTCAATCTGCCATGCAACAATGAAAAGAACTGATGCCCAGTATGCTCAGCTCTGTTCAGCAGCATCTGGCACTACCAATACTTACCAAGTGCCTTTGAATATGCTCAGGACTCAGTTCCTGCAAGAACTGAGGTCAGGCAGAACTGTCTGTTGGGTTAAAAGGCTGATTCTTACCAGGCAAGGTGACAGAAGTGAGAGTCAACAGAAGCTCCAATTACTTCACAGTTGATTTTCTTGAATTCATCAGCTCTGTCACTGTAGGCAATGATTTCAGTTGGACAGACAAAAGTGAAGTCCAGGGGGTAGAAGAAGAACACAACATATTTTCCTACAAAAGCAGTACGAGCAGTTAATCAGTTTGTTTTTTAAGAGAAAGCAAACTAACAAACCCCACCAAAACACAATAAAAAACCTAAACAACCTTAAAACCCTACCTGACTGAAGTCCCCAAACCCAGACTGTCAGATTTAACAGGGAATGCTTGTCTCTTGGGTCTACTCCCATAGGCCTGCCCCAGGTACAGCTCTGGGTGTGCTACACCAGAAGACCCCATGGCTGACCCCTAACAGAGAAATGCCACAGATCTGAAAGGCTACCAGCCAAGGAGACATTATAACTCAGTAGGTGAGTAGTCTATACCAACTCATCACCCTCATTTAGCCTGCAGCATGATTGGCAATGTATTTCTAAAGCCATGAACATGAGTACTTGATTACTTCCCTTTGTTTTTAGTGAAACTTTTTTTGGCAAAGCAAACATTGCCAGCACTCTAGAGAAAGGGACTCTGTTGGTTAAGTGGAAGAATTTACTTTCCATTGACAAAGATGAGACAGAAGATGTTGCTGTTCCAGTCTGGAAATGTTACAGGAGTCTCACTATGACACAGGGCAATGAGCCTGATGCAAGGTAACAGTTTAGAGGAGTTTTATGCTCACTGGTAACAGTTATCACAGCTGGGACATTCAGTCATGCTGCTGACAGCCTTCTAAGCATACTCCAACCACCACTGCACAAGTTCTGATCTTCAGTCCACTGCCAAGTGGTCACAAGCATTTCAAAGCCAAACCAAGATGCACCTTCAGATACCCTCCAGATATAGTATATATATACCCCAGATAGTCCTTCCTGTGGCCAGACTATGAGTAATTAGAGAGGCACATGAAATTACCTTTGTAGTCAGAGAGTTTGATGTCTTTGAACTGTCCATCTGGCATTACAGCCGTGGCAGTAAAGTCAGGAGCTGGTTTTCCAATGAAAGCCTTTCCTGAAGACATCTTGATTTAACCTAGATAGGAGTTAACACCAATAGAGTTTAAATGGTAGTACATTTGCACCTGGAAGTAAGGATTTATTCAAAGCATCTTATCAACCTAGATTAAACACCAAAGACAGTTTATCAGCACTCGGTCTCCCAACAAGGCTTAAGTGTTAAATGAGTTTTGTCATCTGGGTAGTTCAGCCACTATAGAGACTGCCAGGTTTTCAAAATGTATGGCTCATGGCCTCCTGAAGATACAGTAATGGTTATCTAACCAGTAACAGCTCAGAGTCTGGGAAACTGCTAGCCTAGAGCTTTACTAGTACTCAGAAAACCATACTATTCCACATGGTGGAGGAGTAGAAAGTCTGGTTTTTAGAACTTTCAATGAGAAAGTTCAATTTTACAAGGGAATTTAAGACCTCAAACTTGAGCTTCCTGTTGATTCAGAAAGAAAATAACTTATTAATCCCCAGGGAACATTGCTCTGCATAACTACACTTTCCCCTTTTGAACAATTCAACCCTTTTTTATTTGCAACCAGAAAGACTCATAGCACACATGGAAATCACATTTTATGTTAATTACAATTTCACCAAGTCTAAATTTCACCAAGTCCAGCCAGGCTGTTACCCCTTTAAGTCTATTGAAAAAGAATAAAAAGGTACACGAGGACAAGAGAATGCCACCTCTGGCTGTCTGCCCCAAAAGCTTGTCATCTGCAATACATCCCCTGCAGTATTTCGGCTCAGTCTGGGAGTGCAGTATAACTCTTTAGACTTCCAGAGCATAATTTTTCAAATAGGCAACTCTACAAACCTAATTTCTGTAGATCATAAAATATTCTTAAAAGTTATTTCACTTAATTCTACACACTGCAGCACTGGCTGCCTTGGAGATTAAAACCACCTCAAAGGTTAGCATGAGTCTCATGTTGCTAAGGAAAGCCAAGAGCCAAGGATTGTTCCAAGTTGTGCCTGCAAGGCACCAAGTCCGTTCTAAAAAAGGTTGAGAGCACCTCATTTCTTGGCTCCCTCCCCCTTGCCAGCTACTTTTTTCCTGGAGAACTAGCCCACAAGTCAAACATTTAGCTTTGAACCCGCACCTAGCCTTTTTAGCAACGGTTTTGCTTTTGGAAGTTTCTCTCACACACCCTGACAGTAATGATCCACCTCTCAGTTTTCATTTTGAGAAGTGCCCACACACTCAGCATTTCTAACTGTGCAACAAAGCTCCTTATCCTCATGTTCATCCAAGGGTTTTTAGTCTTTAACTGCAGCAGACTGGGAGAGAATGTGGCGGCCAGGACTGGAGATCATTTGTAGGATGCAGTGAAGCAGCCTGGCTGGAGGACATCAAGAATCCTGTACCCACAAATGCAGCTGTGGTTCTCAAAGTGCAATTCTGCAAGAGGGACAGGGGAACAGCAACTGCACAGTATTTATTTGAGATGCCTCCAACTAGCGAGTTTTATCTTGTAAGCAAGAGCTGCTCGGCCTCGAGTGCATGACCCCACATTTTTATCACTGAATTACATTATTTTCTGTTATCCAAGCTCAAGGTCATCCTTTTGCTCAGTACTATGCCAGTCCTTCTATATTTGTTCCATCAGCAATCCTCTGGAGTACTTCACTAGGTATTCAAGGTCAGACTGCTCTTTGATACTTCCTCTTTCTAAACTACAAGTTATTGCCCCTTCCTCTGGTAACATTAAAATCTTTTTAATATTTGCAGGAGACCTCGGTTGCCTCACACTTCAAGAGAACCATGTGCTTTCCTCAGAGCACCCGCTGTGACCTGCCAACCCTTCTGCTATTCCGTGTGGGGTCAGCGCGTGTTCTGATCGGATTTTTAGCCACAGCATTTCTTAACCCGCAGAGGAGCAGACCACAGAATCATTGTGACTTCCTTTCATTCCGGAGGAAAGTACAATGAGCACCTTAAATCAAATACACTCAAATCTGGCCAGAGGATCTTTGTTGCTCATAGCCGCAGACAGCCCCAATTATCTTCAAACTGCAATTATAATGAGCCAGGCCTGCTCAGTAACAAACGGGCGATTTCATACCTTTAGGGTGCCTTGAACAAAAGCGAAAGGCCGTTTCAAAACGCACCATCAGCCTCCCATTCTGCCACCTTCAGACTGTCAAAAAAATGCGGTCAGGCCACCGCAGCCGCGGCCGGGGTGCGGTACCGAACCGCGGGCATCGCGCACGGACCGCGGCACGTCTGGTGCCCAAGGGGCTCCGGGGCGACCTCCGAGCCTTCCCCGCCCAGGCCGCCGCTACACCGCTCTGGGACAGGGGAACCCGCCCCCTGCATGTCTCCGAGCCAGCGCTCGGGTTTGGGGTTTTTTTAAGGCTTAGAAGCGAGATGCCGCCTCGCTTGTCGGGGGAAGGGGCCGCTCGACTGCCGGCAGGCGCTCTGCGCGCTCCCCCGCCGGCCCGCCCCGCGGCTCCTCCCCGCGCAGCGCTGATAAAGGCCGGAGCGTTGGAAGGACTTAGCTGCCCGCTCTCCCCGCCAAAAAAAGCCCAAACCAACACCAGGGAAAACTGAACACGGCGGTGCAGGCGGCAGCCGCAGCAGCGCGATCCCTCGGGAGCGGGACGCGGGGAGAAAGGGCTCGCCCTACGCGCCTCGCTCAAGGGCGCATCTGCGCAGAGGGGGAGGGGAAAGAGAACAAAAAACCCACCCAAAACAGTAACAAAAAAATCACATAAAAATAAAATGAAATGACAAAAAACCAAAACAAACAAACCCCAAACCCCTGTGCAAAGCCCCCAGCACCCCGCGGCCCCGCACACTCACTGGGAGCGCAGACCCGGTCCAGCACACGCAGCAGCAGAAGCGGCTCGGCTCGGCTCGGCCCGCACTGCCGCAGCCCCGCCGCGCCGCCCCCTTTATAGCAGCGCGGATCTCGCGAGCGGACGCGGCGGGGAGGGCGGCAGCGCCTGCAAGGGCAGCATGACTTGGCAGATCCGGGGCAATCGGAGTGCGAGTGAACGCAGATCGTTCCCTGGAGAGAGTCCCGGGAAGTGCCGTGGAAATATCCAATGCCGCGGTTATAAACGATTGATGGGCTTGCTGCAAGAAGCAATGGCATTTTTAGTGCCTTAATTGACCTAGTTATAATTATTTGAAGGCCTCAGAGGGTACGCAGGACTTTGAGAGAGAGTAAGGGATGACTGGCATGTCATTCATGTGAGTTAAGTGTTGGCCATAGACAGAAGTAAAACGAAACCTCTCACGAGCAGAGATGTGTGTTCGCAGTGTTACAGAGGTGCGGTGTCAAATCTCCATCCTCTCTCTCTGCACTACCCACTGCCCCCTCTCCCTGATACTCGTGGTAGATGGAAACCCTTGGAAGATACGGTTACTTCAGGGAGCTGCATCATTCAGTAGTGAAGCTGCTCTGAGGGACGTTTAACCTCAGTGATTCTGCCATAGGCACTGTCTTTGAATCCAAGAGTGAAGAAGCAGTGCGGTACTTTTTAAGGGCCAAATTTTGAATTTAAATGTGAAAGCTTTATTAAATAATGAATACTAAAAGCCATTAAGCCGTATCAAGGACAAAAATGCTTGCTTCTGTCAAAAGTGATAAATGTGCTCACCAACTGATTTTTACTCATCTGGTTTGCAGTTTACAGTTGTGTTTCTTATACCTGTTAAAACTTGATTATAAATTGTAATGAGTAGAAAACCACAAAGGATTAACAAACTTTAAATGTTTATAATCAAGATCACTGTGTAGTGTTGCTCGGTGACCATACCCATGTGGTGGTTCATCCAGAGATGACTCATTTTGGGACTAGATGAAATTAATTGTTAAATAATGAAAGCAAATAACATGCATATATGGACTCAGGAAAAAATCTGCACTCACTTTCATGCAAGCAATTTATCTACTTCTATTGCTATAGCACGCTTAATCTTTTACAGGAAGAAGTTTGCTCTCTTAACATCAGCATTCTCCTGAGAATTGAGGGCTGTATATTGAGACATGTATGTACCTCCCCATCACCTCAGGCCAATCAACCTGTGAACAGATTAACCCCTGAAAGGTCAGGCAGTCCTAATCAAAACCTCCAGAACAATGTAGTCCCACTGCAGTTCCAGCATGATTACCAATGGACAAAGCAGTAATGACTTTCTCATGGTTTCTGACTCCTTTAATGCTTGTTGTGCTCATTTCTCTTACTTTCAGATGCACAATATACCCACTATGGTCTGCAGGTTGTTCCAGGTTTGTGCCGTAAGCATTGCCTTTCCATTCATATGTCTGTTCATTTTGATTAATTTCTGAGCTTGCCTTTCCAGATGTCAGTTTCTGGAGGTATTGGAATAATAAATTGTCAGGGCCACTCCTTGTTCAGTGAGCACCTGGGTGCCTTTCTCAACCTTTAGATGTAGGATGCTACTTAGATTAAAACAATTATGTTTTCCAGGAAAGAGAGGCCATGTCTACCCCCACAGGTGCTGGAAGGATGGAGTTCTCTCCCCAGAGCAGTGTAACTGTGCTGTTGTGTTCTGCTGAAATAGCTGCCAGACAGGATCAGCTTGTACCTGATTAGCATGGAGCATCAGAGCCCAGTGCAGGCCTCTGTGCACCCATCCACTCAGACAGGGACACAATAAGTACTTCATCTATCAACAAAGAGGAGCTGGCAGGCCCTGCAGTGCCAGAGCAGTGAAACTACCCAAACTGGGAGACAAACTAGCTTTCACATCCATCATTTTGATCACAGTATCTCCCAGGTATCTTGGTTGGGAATGGGCCCCTGATGTGAAAAACAAATGCCCTGCTGTGTGTAAAAAGAAAGACAAAAAAACTGGACCTGTTTCAGAACATTACCACACATTTGGGTTTCCATGCATTTGAGAATGGTTTTGTGTAAGAGTATCAAAGATTTCCAGAATAAGATAAACTTCGTTGGAATAGTAATGGATTTGGCAACACTGGGTATGTCCCTGGAGCACACAGTAGAAGTAGTCCCTGCATGCCCTCAAAAACCAGCGTGTTGGGACACCCCCACACATTCCCTGTGGAGTTCATCACTGCATGTGCCAAAAGCCCACTGAATCCTAAATATTCCAAACCTCCTACGTACACATGGTACTACCAGAGGCACAGTCAGAGTCGAGTCCTGGCCATGTGGGGACAATTTAATTTAATATTTGCAGAAAGTCAGCTGACAAGTCAGCAACTGACAAGTTCCATGGGGCATTTATGCACAAGCAGCTGGTGCACAATCATTTTAATGAAAACAACTGCATGTCTTTAAATATACAATGCACATATTAGCTTTCCTTGTTTGAATCAAGTTTTTTACCTATTTCAAGGTCAAAATTACCTCTTCTCTGCATTTTTTTTTTCAATTAGCAGGCCATTACAGTATGTTTAGATAACCACTGCCTTTTGATGACAAAATGTTTAAGCTTCCTGACCTTTTCTCTGTTACTCCCCTATTACATTAGTGGAGGCTGAGGTTTGTTAAATTTTTCATATGTGAGATTTACATAATTCAACGATCTTCTTTCGCTTGAAGATTGTGGATTTTCAAATGGATGTGGTTGCCAAGGTCCTCATAAAAATAAATCAAACTCAGCAGTGATCCCTCCCCCTTTATTCTTTCATTTCCTGCTTCCTGTTATTTATAATTGTTCTCTTATCCTTGCACTTTTCTTCCACTTTCCTTTATTTTGTCAAAACAGGCTGTGCAATAGAAAAATCTGGTCACTTGCATGCCCAAGAGATTAATTGACCTTTGTGCCTTTAAGCGGTTCAAGTCAGAACAGCAAAGACAGAATTCGCAGCAGATTTATCTTTCTGGAAATAAGTAACAGGCTCTTCAAAGCCCCACCAGAGGCATCAATTGCCTTATTTCTGATCTAATCTAAGTTCTGAATGTTTATAAAGTGCTTCTAAAGATGGAATCCTGGAGTAAAAGTCAAAGCATCAAAAATTATCTGTTTTCAGTTGTGTTTAAGATTGGGTGCACAGTTGGTTCTCGATTGCAGGCCAAAGTCTGCTCCAGCGGAAGGCTTTGACAGCAGTAGCAGGGCTGTCCCTGCCCAGCAGTGCAAGCACGCAGCTGAACCAGCCTGCTTTAATCTCACTGCGGTCCCGAGCAAACAAGGAAATGAATTCCTGGCCATCTGCAAGGAGAGGAGCCCCAGCATTCTCGGAAAGTGCAACTTCTCTATGGACCTTAGAGCGCAAAAGCTGAAGCAGAACGAGTGCAATCGGTCTTTCACTTTCCCTGGATTCCTGTTATTTAGTTCTGCAAATAAAACTGGGGATATTCGGTCTTCCTACAAGTAGAAACGGCTTCAAAAGGCCGTGATAAACAGCAGTCGGGGAGATGCAGACGCTTCTTGTTGAATTTATGGGCCAGGGTCGTCTTTTGTCGCTTCCCCTCGTGTGGTGCAGCATTTATCACTCCGGGACAAATTTATCGGCGGGAGCGGCGAGGCTGGGCTGCCTGAGCTTCCCGACGGGAACCGGGCCGGGAGGGCACGGAAGATCAGCGGGACAAACCCGATGAGAAACAGGAGTGGGTCGGTGCCGGGGGCCCGATGAGTTACGGGGAGCCCCACCGGGGGCAGAGCCGCGAGGGCAGCTCAGCCCCGCTAAAGCCCCACTGATGGACTTTCACATTTGAACCCGCCCGGGCACCCGCGCTGCCCCGGCCCGCGGCCCGTTCCCGGCGGAAGCGGAAGGGCCGGGCAGCAGCCGGAGCAGCAGCGGGAGCCCAGCCTGAGTAGCGGCGGCAGGAGCGGCGCTCGGTAGCGGCGGTGAGTGCGGGAACGCTGTGGGGGCTGCGGGGCCACCTTATCAGCCCTCCGCCGCCCCCCGCGCCGGGCGGGCCCGCCCTGCGCCGCCCCGATAAGGGGCAGGTGGGCGCGCCCGGCCCCTCTGGGAGAGCCAAAACGTAGAGGGCTTAACCCCGATCTGTGCGGCAGAAGTTGCTCAGGAATAGCGACTTAAGTATTACTAATATGTATCTATTTGTATATCTATACATATTAACGGCATGCCTAGCTATGGTTGCTTTACTGATGGAAGACTCGTTGCTTTAGGTTAAAAATGAGCTGTAGCTGTGAGTTGATGAACATTTGCATTACTGTGGTTGTTGATACAACATCCCAGTCTTACACTGTCCTTGAATTACTCTGAGCTTTAATCCCTTTATGTGAATGTGGTAGTAGGTTTGTGATGCTAAGCTGTAACCATAACTTACTTGTCTAGAAGTAGTTTGCTTTTAGGTTTGTTTTTATTCTGCCCTTCTAAGAAGAGGCTTTCAACTTTTTAATGAATTGTATAATTATGGCTAGCATCATAACTGTGATTCTCTTAAATCCCCTATTTTAGGGAAGAATCTGAGTGGAAAGTATTAATGTATTTTTTTCCAGTGTCTGCTATTCTGATGTGTTCCATTCTTCCAGAGGCTATAGTTCAAATCTCTCTGCAGTGTTAATGTCCAATGCTACATGAAGCAACATGGTTCTTAAAAATGTGCTGATGCTAGTTATTGATTAAATGTGTACCTTGTCTTCTGAGCTGAACTCTTACCTTTAAGATGATTGCATAACATGGTTGTGTAAAGTATACAGTTGGTATTTATTTGTATTATAGGCCAAAGTGAATTAAAAAACCTTACATTTTTAATTGTGTTGCTTGATGCAAGAAGATGTCTTTATTTAGGCAACTAAATTCAGGTAAACAGTACCCACTTGCATGTAGCTGGCTACAAAATGGCTGTACAAGCTCAGAGTAGAAGAAAATACTGTTGGCACCATCACCCTGTCTTCTCTGACCTCCTACCCCAATAAAACAGATTCCTGCAGTTTGGTTCACCAGTGATTGTCTTCAGCACCAATAGCTGGACTTAGCTCAGTGCAAATCCAGGGCTACTAGTTCAGTGTAATGATTGTCTTGTACCAGGAGGTGCTGGCCCATTACAATCCAGACAAGAAAGGCACTCAGACTCTAAGGTCTCATCTCAAGTGATGTTTTTTAGAGCTAACCCTTTAAAGAAAGACCAGATTGTGTGTGTCCCTTCAGGTGCTGGAAGCCCCAACTTGTGCAGCATTGAGCAGATCTCACACAGCACAGTGTGCAGACCCTGCCTATAGCAGGGGTTACCCTCAGAATCTGCTGGGGATTCTTTTGCAAGAAAAGACCTTTATTCATCACTTCTGCTGTCACACAGAAAGGATGCTTGCAGGAGAACTTCCTGCATTTTTAGATAAAGGCAAGGACACATAGGTAGCATAATTGCAGGTACAAAGTGTGAGCTACCTGCAGACTCCTATTACAGATTGCTGCTGAGCTTATCCTACAGCTTGTGCATCCCACAGCACCAGGCTGGGCATGAAGTGCAGCACAAGATGAGCCTGGACCTACTCAGGTTAACTGTTACAGGGATCCCCAGCTCCTTGGTGTACAATGGCCTTCAGGTCAGGATCACTCCAACTGCTCTTGTATGTCTCTCTGAAAAACAAGTATGCTATCTGGTGTCTGCTGTTAAATCTACAAAAGTATGGCTTGAGAAGCTAAGCAAGAAATTGAAAGCGTAAACTCTGTGTCAACACATCCATCAGCTGGGACCTAATTATGTGAGTAAAATGACAATACTGAGAAGGCAGACCTATTTTGGGATAGTATGCTATGTGGATGCTGAACTCTGAAAACATCCATTCCTCCTACATAGTCAGATGTAACTAACATTGCATTCTTCCACTCTCGGTTATTTTTGTTGCTTTTTGTTTTTAAACAAATAATATTCAAGATTTTGGATGCAGCAGAGCTTGGGAAGTAACTGAAATCAGCTAGCCAGCTTTGGAGCTTATCCTGAATGCAGTTTCTTTTTAATTGTTTGAGCAGAAACATAGACTGTGAGGATGTTGGGACATGCTGTAAGCCCTTCCTTTGTTGATGAAAAAACTTTGCTATTGTGAGCAGAAAAGGTAAATTGTTGCAACTTAAAGAATTGCTGCAAAACTTTGTTCTTTTTATTCTTTAGGCAAACATGCCTGCAACATGCGACTTTGTTACACTCCACACTGGGCAGAAGATGCCTCTCGTGGGACTGGGAACTTGGAAGAGTGACCGTGGCCAAGTAAGCAGGGAACAGTAGGATATTGTGCTCTCAACTAATGTGTGTGTTTGTGCACTTTTTTGGAGGCCCCAGATCTGAGGCCTGGATCCTTTGCTTGAGCTGTTCTAGTCTTGAGTCCATTGAAGTTGAATGCATGTATGTGTGTATTTGCCTGACTAAGCCTAAGGCACAAAGACAGCAGTTCTTTCCAAAAAGGAACATCCCTTCAGACTTGTTAGCCCTGGCCTTGGGCAGTGGAGCTCTGGGACATAAACCCAGAAGAAAACCAGTGAATGGTGTTTCTATAACATGGTGCTGCACTCTTCCACTGGCAGGTCCTCAGGCTGCCGGTCTGACCAGACACCCCTCTGGCTTAGGCTGATGACTCGGCAGAAAGCATTATTTTGGGAGGCAGAAACTCAAGTTGTTCTTGTAATAAGTCCTGTTCCAGCAGCCAGCCAATGGTTAGCAGGAAAACAAAGAACTTGCTTGGGTCAGCCTGCTTTCAGAATAAGAAGACTCATGTATCATTAGACATTCACTCTGCTTCTGAATGCAGGAAATTGGCAAACACCACACTTGGAAACTATTCTGTTGTTACTACAGTCTGTGGGAATGTTTGTGTGCTCCATGGTGTGCCTGCTATTGTAATGTTTCTCCCTTTTGTCTGTCTTTTAGTATGTCTTTGATTTAGTTAAAAGATACAATCTCTTCCCCAAAAAATGTATGTACTTACTGGGAAAGGTAATGTCCACTGCTTGGTGGAATTCCTAACTGGCATTTGTAGAGTTGTGGAATCACAGAATGGTTTGGGTTGGAAGAGACCTTAAAGACCATCTAGTTCCAGTTCCCTGCTGTGGGCAGGGAGACCCTTCCACTGGACCAGGCTGCTCAGAGGTCAATCCACCCTGGCCTCGAACATTTCCAGGGATGGACATCCACAGCTTCTCTGGGTTATGCACATCACTGCATGTCTGTGCAGTAAATGGATGTCTCACTGCTACTCCTGTGTGAGCTTTATGATATTTTTTGGAGTATCTTGGATGACATTGTTCTCATGACTGAGAGGGAAAGTTAAAACTCTTCTCAAGACATGCAATTCTCTCATGCCAGCTAGAGGAAAAGGTGGGAAACAAGCTAAGAAAATTAAATCTATTCAGAGCCATTTTACTGTTGGTTTTCCTGTCCAAACAACTGTCAGGACAGTGGATCTGTTGGGAATAGAAGTTGTACTAATGTGGAAGCTGAGTTGGTGTGAGAGCTCAGTCAACCTCTTAAATGAGGAAAAGGATGAATGTGCAGCTTTGCCACTTAAAACATCAAATGACAGCTGAATTAAGCTTGTTAACATGCACAAACTTAATGGATGAGTTTCTGTGCACTCAAAACAGTTAAATATGCTTTGTCTAAAGCAAATGTCTGGAACTAAACAAACAAAATATGAATGTGTTGTTTATTCTGTGAACTAATTGTTCTGAGAAATGTGTGGCCTTAGAAAGGAACCAGGACCGATCCTGTTTGTGCATAATTTAAACCTAATTCAGTTGGATTTTGCCATAATCAGCAGTGCTGCTGGCAGCTGAACCACACACAGGATCCAGTTATCTTCTCTGGGTTTCCTTGGAAGTCATTGGGAGTCACTTCTTTGGAATATCTGCTTTCTTCAAAGACTTCCTTGTAAAACATATTGAAGGCAAAATCTAGGAAGTGCAGTGGAAAGGGCCAGGGTTACAGAAGTTGCTGCTATTCCTGTGGAATAGATGAATTTCTGCTTACCACTTTTGAAAATTCAGGGGCATAGCAGCAATTTGGCAGTGTCCAGATGATTTACCCTTAAAAAGACATGATGTAGTTCAGTGATAATAACTGCTATTATGAGTTAAAGACTAGGGGCCAAAAACCCAGAGAAGCAGAAGAATTAGCATTGATTAAATTTGGTTTAGCTGTTTCTCAAGTAGAGGCTATTTATTAACAGCTCTTTTGTTCAAGGGCTGCATTAGAAGCAAGTGTGAAATGAATGGCTTTTAAATTATTTTGGGTACATATTTTGCAGGTTGTAATTCTTTCCCTTGCCAGGCTTGAGTAATTTCTTTATTACTGCTGTTACTGTTCCTGACTGTAAACAAGCCTTGACCTTGTAGACAGATCTTAGCAGTCCAGTACAAAGGTGTCATTGCAGTCCCAGTTTCCTAGATATTAATAGGGGGAAAATAATTGAATCTAATTCCATGTTGAAAGGATTTTATAGGATTGGCACCATCTAAAATAATAGGATGTTTTGTGTTTTACATGATCAAATGCTAGAAGAGAAATTTGTTTTGCATGTTTCCATAGGAATATAATGGAGGACTGTTAAATGGAAGGGAGCACAGTACAGAAGTTTATGAACTGGCAGCATGAATCAGTTCAAAGAGAAATCCATTCAGACAGGAGTATCAAGAATATCAGTACAGTGGCTTTTTGATATTGCAGCTGGATTAGCTGTAATCCTTTAATGCTTTGTTCTCTTCTCTCAAGTGAGCCATGCTTTCAACCTGGAGGATTGATCCCCACCTGATGAGCAGCCTAACCTGAGTGGCAGAGGCTGGTTCTGTGGGACAGGGAGACACAGGGCTTGTATTTCTGTGTGAAACCTTGGAAAAGCTGACGAGAAGTGCACCTCAGGAAACCAGTCAGACAGGGTGTCTTGTGACAGCTTCGGGGGAGAATGTTTAGTTCTTGAAGTTTGTTAGGCAATACAGAGAATCCTGGTGACAGGCACAAAAAAAAAATCACTCCTGTTAAGGAAGGGACTTATATTCAACATTTGAAGGATAAGAAGCAAACCCCTTTATTTTAGGGAACACCGCCTTTTAAATTGCCATTATTTATCTTGTGGCATGAGTTCCTTTTCAGCCAATTTTAGTGCAATATTTAGAAACTGTGATATAGCAACACTTGGGTTCTGGCCATAGTGCATCTGAACATCACGTGCACTGATTATTTGGTTTTTTCCTACTTCCTCTCAGCAAAAGAACTGCTAAAATGTGTCAACTTTACAGGAAGCAGGGGTGGCTGGTCAGAGCCTTTTCTTTCCCAGTAATATTGAACTGTTAAGAGTGGAAATCTCTTCATAATGGCTTGGGGCTGTGCACAAGAGGCTCCGGGTCACTTGAACTGTGTGTTGCCTGGAAGTATAAAGATGGCTTGTTAGTTTTTTAACCTTGTGAGAGGCAAATTGGAGAATTGGAAATGTAGCAATGGATATTGTAATTAATGGGGACTTAGAGATTTTTTTCTGAATCTGCCACTGATACTGTGTTCATCCATCTTCAAAAGAGGGTGGCAAGGCCAAGTCCCTTACTGGGATGTTTAAATGGGATGTAGTTCCTTGGACTTTGCTATAAAGTGAAGGAGAATGAGGCTTCAACTGCAAAACCTGTGTGTTTTGGGGCCAGCCATTCGAAGAAAGGCATGACACAGCTGATGAGACAGCAACAACAGTGATGCAAGGTTTGGGAAAGGTGAGTTGTGATTAGAGGGGGGAGCACCTGCAGTTATGTGGTCAGTAGAGATGTGAGAGGAGCTGTGCACTTTGCAAATGTGGGAAAAGCCCTCACAAAGGGCAAGCTGTGAATTTCGTCTCTGGGAGGAATGGGATGTGGCACCAGGGCCATCTTTGTGAGTCACCTAAAAGACTTTGAGCAGAAAGATTTCAAAGCATTGGAATAGACTGCCTGTCACAAGAAGGGCTATGACAAATGTGTGTAGGAGTGGTCTGGATTTACTCTGCCCAGCTGAGGGCCTTGAGGGTAGCCTGGAAGATGTCTAAAGATCCATTCAGACGTACTTTTAGTAAGACCTAACTTTTTAGTTCTGTGGGGATGGATTGGTGAGTCACACTTGAGCTGTGTGACTCAATTTGCCTAATGCAAAGTAAACTCACTAATTGCTCCTTTCATAGCAGTATTGACAGGCTAAACTAAAGAATATATGGAAAGTTTGAAGGATCCTTTGGTTATTTTTACTTCACAACAACAAATACCAGTAGGCATATGAATCTTCAACTGCTTCTGTTGTGTTTTTTTTCTCTATCCCCTACCATGAAATGTATATACCTGTCTGAAGTTAATCTCAAAAATACAGAACTTCTTGTTAAAAAAAGTACTTTTTTAAAACTTACATCTATATGTTATTATTTTTCCCCTCCAAAAGTGCTTTTTTTTTTGCATGTTTCCTCTTGATTGTTTGCCTTTTGTGTGGAACAGGAGCTCTCAGTTCACATTGAAATGTTTTAGTAGGCTGGAATTGCTTACCCAAATACAGATTATTTTTGTCATCTACAAACCTTGTTTAAATTATCAGTCCCAGTTCTTCAGTGCCAGAAATTTCTCAAAACATGCTGACAAAAAATACAGCCTCTTGTTGATATCTTTGCAGAGACATGTTTGGAGTGCTTTATCTCTGTTTTTCTGTGAGTGGTGCCTACTTTCATTTATGGTAAACTTTGTGTCTGTTTGCTTAAAAAGAGTATTAATCTGATACAGGAAATAGGGGGTTCCAGACACAGAACATTACTGTTTTTCTGTCCGTCTCCACAAATCTCACCTTTTTGGAGGATATATACCGAGTCTTAAAAGCCCTTACTATGTCTCAAGTGATTTCAGAATTACTCTGCCCTTGATTTTGTAGTGACCCGAGAAATGTCTTTGTCAGGTGAAACAAGGACTGTAAGTACCATCCTGCTAGAGAAAGGAAGGGTTCACTGCTGTAATAGAAGTGCTTTGTCATCCTGGCTAAGGGAAACTGTGCTACACTCCAGTTTTCGTCTCGAAATGCCAAAGAATGTAGTCAGAATATCCTGTGTCTGCTTTTACTGCACTTCTTGACAAGAAAAACAAATCAAATCCACCAGTAGGAGAAAGATCTCACATTTGATTCTCCATTGCCTTTTTGTAGCATCTGAAAGCAGGACTGTAAATGCCTTTGCTTGGTATTACTAATTTTGTCAGCTTTAAATTTGAAAATGCTGGTACTTTACGTTTTTAATCAAAGTAACAACATTTTCAAATTCACAGCTACTTTGATTAAGTTGTTGATCAAAGTAGCCCTCTAGCTGTTGTGAACATATTTTTTAATCTCATGACAAGAGAGGTGTGATCTCACTTAACATTTATGGCCCTATTGCATCAAGCCTTATACACAGAGTAATTTACAGTCTCCCACAGTCTTGAGAGATAAGTGAGGTGCAGTGTATAGAAATCCCTGTACAGATGGGGTGTATTATTCTTTCTGTAGTACTTCAGAAGGACAGATGTAAGAGAGAATGTGTGCTAACTGTCCACTGGAAGTTAAATTAAATAGATTTTACTAAATGGTCATCAGCCTAATGGGAGAGGATGATTACACTGGCAACTGTAGTAATTCTTCATTCTTGCACAATCATTTATAGAAAGTCTTTTGAAAAAAGCTCCTTAGGAGTCCTCACAAAGATGCCATTCTGTGTTTCCTTCTGGTTTCTAGACTTGTTTCATATCTGAGGCCCACATGTGAAGACCACATTTGGTGCTTGTGCTGCATTAGAGCTTTCAAAAGCAGATACAGATTTGAAGTAAAGTGCCTTGGTTTCCAAAAACCATTCTGGCTTTTGCGTGACAATATGGAGCAAGAGTTTTGTTGCTGTTGGCAGCACCTTCATTGTCAGCAATGTTGAAAGCAGAATGTAAAGTTGTGAGCATCATCAGGGGTATCCCAGCAGCATGACTTTTGCTGTTGTGCAATTATGAGACAAGAAAGAAAAGTGTTCCATAAAACAGCATTGTCTTGGTAATTAAGTGTGAGTGGCTGAACCAAACACAAACTGTGGTGATTCTGGAGTTAGAAGCCAGGCTCTTTCTTTACTGGGCAAGAGGAAATATATTCCAGGTTTGACTGATGTTGATTTGTCACTTTGGCCAGAAAACGTCTTCCTAAGCCGTGACTTGTTGAAAACTGCTTCTTATAGGTCATTTTATATTTAAGAAAAGTGTAACAACTGTAGTGGAGAGTAGGGATTTGTTCTACCTAGTTCATTCTTGCATGCTGGCCCTGTGTGCACGATCCATTTTCCTGTTCCTCTTGGAGTGTCTGCCAGCAGTTTGCTCTTCCCCATTAAGGACCATGCCAGAGACTCCAGATCCTCGTGTTTGCATCTCATAACCTTATACAGGTCTGTGGTTTTTTGGGGGGTGTTCCTCACCAAGTCAAGTAGCGTTTTTTAACTTTTCCCCAGTGGCACATCCCTTTTCAGTGGCTGCATGGGCAGTGTGTTTGTGGTTGCAGGTGAAGGAGGCAGTGAAACACGCCCTCAGCGTGGGCTATCGCCACATCGACTGCGCGGCCGCCTACAGCAACGAAGCCGAGATCGGGGAGGCCTTCCAGGAGTGCGTTGGGCCCAGCAAGGTAAAAGCTCAGGAACTGCCCTGCTCACTGTGTGCTGTGCCAAAACTTACAGCTGTCCCCTGTGAAGGTAACACAGTTACCTGCCACAGAAAGTTGTGGCTTTTCCTGCTGGTCTACCCCAGCTGTTCGCTATTTATCAGGAGAAGGCATGAAAGAGACCTTTCTCTCCTCTTAGAACCCTCCTGGCTGTCATGGGGACAAAACATTGTCAGGGATGTTTGGATGGAAGCTACAGAAAATGCCTGTGGTGGTGGTGGTTTTTTCCTTTTCCTGCTCCTTTTCCCCCAACAAAGTATCCCAATTTGGATACTTTGGGGTTCCTAGAATCAGTAGTTATAATGTAAAATATTTGTCACGATTTATATGAAAAGTTACCCTGACCTTCCTGTCTGGTATGCAATGGGTATAGCCACAGCAAATTTAGTTTTTCCATTATTGATAAAATATCAACTGTAGGTTTTTTGTTATAGCTAAAATATGAGTGAGTAAATGTAGTGAATTTTAATTTTTTTTTTTTAAACAGTGCACGTGGAAGGCTCATAAACGTGACTAAATGTAGTGAATTTTAATTTTTTGTTAAACAGTGCACGTGAAAGGCTCATAAATGTGACTCCAGAGTCTGCACCTGAGAGTTTGAGGTCTAAGTATAATGTAATGTGGCAGGCATTCCTATGTATGAGCTGAGGTAGAATCTTAAATCTATTCCCTGAAGGGGCCAAAAGGATAATCTGTACAGCCTCACAGCCCATGGAAAGGAAGCTTTCATGTTCTTGCTTTCCTGCTGTGCTTGCCTTGGCTTTAGGGAAATCTCTTTGTTATGTGCTTAAGAGAGGCTGTTTTCAGCTTGCCCCAGGGATTCCTCCCTATTAGGTGTGGTAACAATGGGAAGCATTTTGTTCAGTTCATATTAGCTAGCTAACTTAGAACTAGAATTTGAATCAAAATTATTTTAAAAAGAATTTTTAAATATCTTCCTTTTAAACACAACATCCTTGTGTGAAACACAGAAATAATTGAGTGGTTGGAAGAGACAAACTAAGGAATTAATCATTCCAAATTCTTCAAAATAGACTTGAGTGAAGTTTTGTCAGACATGAGACAGTGAGAAGCATCCTTTCTGATGGAATTCTGAGCTTCATTTTGCCCTGTGTGATCTCCCTTTTGTATTTTATACTTCCTAGATAACCAGTTCTCCATTTTTTATTTCTGGTTCTTGCCATTCCAACACAGGGTACAGAGCTCTCAGTTCTTAGTGTGTTCCTTCCACAGCCAGAAGCTCCAATGCAGAGGTTTGGGGAATCTCCTGATTATTTTCCCACGCTTTTTTTACAAGAAGCAATCTTGGTTTATAGCATGTGATGAGTAAAGTAAGTTAGCTGGTTGAGCCTGGAATATGTGAATTGTTAAATGGAAATTTGAAAATTTACATATGAATAAGCTGAGTAATCTTTCTTTTGGCCACATCATACTTAGTAATGGCTTTAACCCTTGAATTGGAAGGTTTGGAAGAGTGAGTATGTGGAAAGGAATTTTGTTATTTTTCAAAACTTCTAATTGCTAAAGTATTTTATATACTTTAAAACTTGCCACTGTGTGTATTTCTCTGGCACTTCTCCTTCCAATGTATTTTTGAAAGATTTAATTTGTAGGTTCCATTAAAAAAAAACCATAACAAACCACAAAACTTCATTTGTTCTCTTTGTTTTAAAACTAATTGGGGAATTGTTGCAATTCTCTTTCTGAACTTGCTCCAGTATATTATGCTCTCCTTCCTTTCTTGAAGGTTATTAAAAGGGAGGACCTGTTTGTAACATCAAAGCTCTGGAATACCAAGCACCACCCTGAAGATGTAGAGCCAGCACTGAGGAAAACACTTGGAGATATGAAACTGGATTACCTGGACCTGTACCTCATGCACTGGCCTCATGCCTTTGAGTAAGTTCTAGATGCAAAGGGCACAGAATGCAGAAACACCAGTTTTACATAAGTGGCTCATGTTATATCCTGAGGATGTTCTTTCTGAGCTGTGAGTTTCTTCCTGTTTATGCTGCCTGCAAGGTGTTTTTTGGTATTTAAAGGTTAAAACAGTCTAGTGTCTTCATCTAGGCACTGGGGAAGTGTAGCAGTTATTCTTGGTTCTGCCATTGGCCTACCTGGTAACCTTGAAAAAATACCAGAACTGCTTTTGCCTTAGTGGTACTGATCTGTGAAATGGGAATTAAGTGCTTCATAAAGACAATGCTTTTCACTATTGGTTATTAACTGTACTGGAGTGGACAAACACATGCAGTATCATGGTGGTATCTGTATGAGGTGGAAGGGAATTGATTTCTTATGACACAAATTGCAGTAATTCCATGATTTGAGGAAGTAAGAGATAAGAAAGCTTTCCAGCTAAGTGTTAAACATACTTATCCTACAATCCCATGATAAGCACAGTTCCATACTCTATTTCCTTGTAGATGTGGAAGTAGTTGTTTCCCCACCCAACTACAATCAACAAAAAGGCAGGAGGAATAAATCTCCTTGCCAAAGGTTTGCATGGAGTCTTCACTCAAGCCCTTTCAGTTTAAGGGGCCTCTGCTCTGCAAATCTGAGAATGTTTTTTCTCCTTCTTGTCATATGAACTGAATTTTACAGATGTCGTACACTAATGATAAGATGAAAGATGCTCAAAATATAAATATATTCCTCAGCATAACAGAATGAGGAAGTTTTTTTAACTAGAACTGGTCTGGAGGAAGAGCTGGTAAAAATTCCCTCTGTTGTGCAATAGGTTTGCTTTTCATTTGCTTGAAAAAAACCAACCCATCAAACATGGCTTTGATAATAACACATAAGACAAATAATAATGTACGTTTGGATGTTTAGATAGTACTACTATTTAAATTTATATCATATTGTGACTCTGTTGACAAAACTGACCGTCTAATAAAGCAGTTTAATTTCTTTTCTCATTGGGAATGGCACACTCTGCAGTTTTCCGTTATTTCTACGTAACTGTTTTAATGTGTGGTTATTTATAATGTCTGTTGCATTGGGAGGATAAGCTAAGGAATGTTATTTACAGAACAATTAAAACAGACTTCCCGATGAAAATCACAGTGCCTTTAGGTTTTGAAAATTACTCTCACTTAATACAGTACTCTTGACATATGAAGCTGCTCTTCTGACTTGAGAGCTCATAAGGCTTTCAGAGTTACTTTTGGTTCTAGATTTACCAGTGACATGAAGAACCATCTCCCCTTGTCCCCAGGTACTGCCATTTCTCACACCATTCACTGCTTAGCTAGAGCACTTCAAGAGTCACATTGCTGAGTTAGCAGAGTCCTGTGATGATTATGGAGCAGGGCTCTGCCAGGGGGATTGCTGGTACCTCTCCAAGCATGGACTGCACAGAGACCAGGCATAGGTTCTCACCCCTTTGGCTGTAGGAGTGTCACCTGGCACAGCTGGGTACTTTGTGTCTGTTTTGGGTGGGCTTTTTTTTTTTTTTTTTTTTTTTTTTGTGTGTTGGTATGACTAATTGGAAGAAAACACAACCAACCTATAAAGAACATGTACATGTTAAGACTTCTGGGAGACTCTGTGCTTGTATTGAGTAGTGACACAGCTACTGAATTCAGAGGGAGCGGGAAGGCCAGTATTCTTTAAATACTGTTACTTCTAGATAGCCCTTAAACCCAGATCCCTTTGGTAGCAACTCCAAGCTGCCCTCTGAGTTGCTGCTCCCTAAATCAGCTGTTTTATGGGGATCAAAGTGTGCAAAGACCTGCTGCTGTGTCTGCAGTGGTTTATCAGTTCTGTGTAGTCACTGCTGTAGGTGAGTACTTCAAAGTGCCGTGTAACAACTTTATGTAGGAACAACTGTCTTGTGTAATAACTGCTTATAGGCTAAGTCATGTAATGGAATTGAACAGATTCATTCAGTTTGTATCTGTCCTTCAGACTATGTAGAAACTTTTAAGACTACTGTGAGGAAGGTTTCTTTGAGTGAAGAACTAAAATAATTTGGTGCATGTACTTACACTTCACCTTTGATGCTGTAGACGAGGGGACAACCTCTTCCCAAAGAATCCTGATAACACGATGCGTTATGACTACATTGATTATAAGGAAACCTGGAAGGCTATGGAGAAACTAGTGGAAAAAGGTCTTGTGAAAGCCATTGGGCTGTCAAACTTCAACAGTCGTCAGATTGATGATGTTCTAAGTGTGGCTACTGTGAAGCCAGCTGTGCTCCAGGTAAGGTGGATAAAGGAGACAAATACCTTTCCTGTTTGTCCTTAAGAGTGAAGAATTTGCAAACCAATGTCATGTGTTTAGCACAAGAGGTGCAGCTTCTTATTTGCAGGGAAGAATATAGCCAGCTCTGCAGGAGCAGGCACACAGAGGCTGTCTTTCCAGGCAGATTGGAAAAGAGGCCTACATCTGTGTTCTGTGGGTAATTATACCTGCTTAGAACAGGTCTGTGGAAGAGTTCATCTTCCATGTGAGAAACAACTTAGTCTGTAAAAAGGAAAGATTGTGAGGGAGTAACTTGAATCCCTACTGCTTAGAAATTGCTTGCTTCTTGGATGATCTGTTTAGTACCAAGGGAAAGTCCAGCACTGAGCTCAGGTGATCTGTTCTTTGTTTCCCATAAGCTTAGCCTACCAGACACTTCTTTCTCCTGATAGTGACTTGAGTTACTAAGGTTAACTTAAACCTTATCCTCATAAGGTTTTCTGGAATCTGGAATGAACTCCTGTGATATGTTTTGTTCTTTTGTGCTTGACTTCCTGTTTGTTTCATTGTATGTTGATATCTGTTCTGTAGCCACTCATTGTGGGTCATTTTAATAGGTGGAATGCCATCCTTACCTAGCTCAGAACGAGCTGATTGCTCACTGCCAGAAACGAGGACTGGTGGTCACTGCCTACAGTCCCCTTGGCTCTCCGGATCGCATGTGGAAACACCCGGATGAGCCTGTGCTGCTAGAGGAACCTGGGGTCAAAAAAATTGCTGAAAAATACAGCAAGTCACCTGCACAGATCATCCTCAGGTACAGAATAATTGTGAGAGAGGTGGTGTTTGGGACCCAGCCTTCAGTCAAGCAAAACATACAAGCTAGAAGGAATCCACTTAAAGTGTGTCAGGGAGGGGTTAAAATCACAGGGAGTGTCAAAAGCAAACCCCACTTGGTGCTTGTTTTACAAACTGGTAGAGTTGGTCCTGCCTTAGGGCAGGTAGGCTAGATCAGAAGGGTCCATTCAGGGCCTGGATCCATGTCTGAGATAGTTCACATGGACTGTTGCCATGTCTGGGACAGTACCTTTTCTGCTGGGAAATAGCAGTAGGACAGTTAAGGCAGCTGTGTATCACATCTGAATGCTGCCCACTGAATTTGCATCTGGCTGTTTCCCTGAAACCTCTAGTGCTTGCTGCTGCATTCAGTTGGGCTCCCAGGAAGAGGGGCTGAGGAAAATACTTGCCTCCTTTGCACTGAAGAACTATTTGCTGTTTTGTTTTTATATAACCAGGTACTGGGTATTAGAAAACAAGGTGACTGAGTGATACCCAGAATGTGATCAGCACCTTCTAAACTAAAATTGGATTTCTATCCTCATTTTTCTTGACTGGTTTTGTATCCATCAGTGTCACTACCACAGTCTTGGGCAGTAGCATGTTACCCAGAGAGCTGAATGTGTTCAAGATTTTGTGCTCAAGCCACTAGACAGGCACTTCAGGGATCTGGGCTTTCATTTAGTTTTTGAGTGGTTGTCAGGTTAGAACTTGCTTGAAATGCCTAAGTATGTTTTTCTGACCGTTTCTTGGATTTTTAGCATAAAACAGTTGAAACCTGGGTGCTTGTTCCAAGGCATAAACATTTTCCCCTCTCTGATTCAGTTGTTACTGTTTTGCTTGAGCTTGGATATACCAGGTCCTAATACAATACAGGGCTGTGTCACTCCTGTGGAGATTTTTATTTCACAGAAGTGGCATCTCTGCTGCCAGAGATTATTACTCAATCAAAAGAAATACTTATTGTCCATGGACTGTATGCACAAAGTCTCTCACCTCCTATTGCAGATGGCAAGTGCAGCGTAAAGTGGTTGTCATTCCCAAGAGTGTCACTCCTGCTCGCATTCAGCAGAATCTGCAGGTAAGCTGAAATGGAGGAGAGGAGTTTCAGAAATGCACTTTTCATGTGAGTAATTGCTATACTGTCCTACAACTTGCAGAGCAGCAAGCTGAGGCACTTGGTTCATACTTGTTCGTCAATGTATGCACACACTGGGGCGGGAGGGTAAAGATGTTTTTTGAAAACAAAGGATGTGTTTTAAGCAACTTGGTGTGTGTGTGCAATGTGCACATGCACAGTCTTGTTACCAGAAGGTAAAGAATGTACTTTGTAGAGGTCTAAATGAAAAATCTATACTTAAATTTTTTGAGACAACAATTCATTGAAATAGAGAGTCTTCTAACTATGCTCAGTGACTCTTATTTATGAGTAATAGCTGCTCTATCCTGCAAGTGAGGGCTGGTGACTACTTCTCCAGCAAACTGCCATTCTGGCGGTGCTGAAGGAGTAAGTGTGGTTCACTTCTGCTCTGAAGTAGAGACTTCCGAAATGATTTGAAAACCCTGACTTTAAATAATCTTAAGGGATGTTTCTGAATCACCTCCTTGGATCTTTTTTCATAAAGATTGGCTGGTTACATACTTGTTTTTAAGTAAGGAGTTGTTCATGTAACTGTTACTCCCATTAATCCAAAATCTGTCACGTAGTGTGCTACTAGAAATCTCAACAACTTCCAATAAATTCCGCAGTTGCTCAAGGTTTAGATCTACATGGAAACAGAATATTTATTGAATAGGCAGCACTTGCTGTGAGAAACAGTCCCACCAGTGTAAGCTTAGAGCTGGAAGGTGTGTGAACATCTCAGATTTTAACGCTTTGCTTTGGTGTTATAAGTTTCATTGCAATTTCATATTTATTAGCAGAAAACAAACTGATGGCAACCTATGGTTATTGGGTAAAGCCTCTGGCTTTTGTTCTCAGGTGTTTGACTTCAGCCTCACAGAAGAGGAGATGAGCCACATTGGAAGCCTGAACAAAAACTGGCGCTACATTGTGCCAATGATTACGGTAAATTTCTTGTTTTTCTAATACTTTTCATTATGTGTGTATGGTCACCACTTGGGATTTTTACAGTTTTGTTTCTTTAGTTCCCATCAGAACTATTTACTCATAAGAACACTGCATCTTCTTAGGGTATCTAAGATGAAGGAATTTTTCAAAAGCCGGGTACAGAAAAGGCAGCTTCTTGAGAACTTTTGTCCTCTTGTTTTGGACATTGGCTCTCTCTTGAGTTCTCATTACTGACTCCCATGGGTCTTTAAGTCAGAGTCCCATCTTCAAATCTCACCAAACTTCTGCTGATTTGTTCTTCCCAAGTCAAAGCAGGCTAAGCTCCATGGCATTCCTCTAGACATACTCCTGTGCCAGCTGTCATTGTCTACTTTGTACCATAAACCTCTAAGATCAGACTCGGGGTGCTGCTGCTTCTCCACATCCATGGTGGAAGTCACATCAGGGAATTCGTCCCCTCCCCTCTGCTGCATGTCCCCCTTTTCAGAATCTGTTGTAATGACCTTTCTCCAATGTAAGGAGTTTGGATTAGGCTGTTCTATTTTTCTTCCCAAATCCATTAGCTGCAGCATGTTTTAGCATCAGCAGTTTACTGTGTCACACGAACCCTTACCTCATGTGCTAGCCAGTTTGTTTTTAGAGAAACCTCTGCCTTGTAAGCATTGAAATCCTCTTGGTCTTTCCTTTATTACATTAAAGGACCTAAACTTGTTCCTTTTCCCTCACTGCAAAATTCCAAGTCAGTGCCTTATCTCCTGACTTTATAGTGTTTGCCATTTCTTCTTGTCCTGCTTCTGACTTTATAACAGAAAGCTGTTGCCATTCCCTGGTGCATTACTGGCCAGAATATGGCAACTGTAACAAGTTGCTGTGGTTGTGCTATAATGAATCTGAAGTGATTTATCCCTTCTCTGCCATACAGTACACTGTACAGATACAGGAAATCTCAGCAAATTTGGGAGCTGTCAGGCATAGCCTGGCCTCTTCAGTGCTTTGCCTGTAAATTATCCTTCAGTAGTGGCTGCTGACTGTAGGAATTCCTTGGTGAAAGCTTTTCTCCAGGATTTATCATTGTGGGTTTTTCAAATACTTGAGAGTGTATCAGTGACCAGCCCACGTTAGAGAAGAAGCTGTGAATGTGTGGGAATGATTGTCTCATATCAAGGGTAGATACTTGTTACAGCCTTCACTGTTTGTCATACTTACATGAGCCTCAAGGCCATCCTTTTAACTGTACGTGTGCATAAATATAAACCCTCACATCCCTGCAGCCAAACTTCTCTCCATGTTTATGGATCAGGAGTCTGTATACCAAACAAGCAGCTTAGCTGCTGATCCGTGTGAATGGGGTAGTGACAAGCACACCTACTGCTGACAATATGTTTCTTTCAAGTGTTTTGCTACTCATGCTGCAAACAAAGTTGTTTTTGTTAATGAAACTGCAAAATACATTTAAATGTAGCCTGGCTTGAATGAGCCAGGGATAATTCATGTGCTTTTGTTACCTGGGAGACCTGATCAGATCACAGGGGTTCACAAAGGAGAGATGAAATACAGTTCAAAGTGGCAGCCCATCCAGCTTGAGAAAGGGTGAATGTGATGATGCAGCTGGGCTTCAAAGATATTGCCATATTGTCAGATAACGAGACAGGAAGAAGCGAGATGAGTGGAGTTAAATCACAGATCTGTAGCTCTAAGATCTCTAAGATCTCAGGAACCTTTTGTCTCCTGCCCATCCCTTCTGGGCTTATTGGAAAGAATTTTCATCAACTGTGAATTAAAATTCCTGTCTAACCTTTCATGCCTATCTCTGCTATGAATCTGACGTAGTGTCTGGATTTCAAAGTGTGATATGACAGTGACAAGAGAGCTCCTATTGTAATTGATGAGACAGTTCTTCTTGGCTTTATTTCATTGATCTATAGCCACAAGTTCTTAAAATTGTGCCCCTCTCTTCCTTGTTGTGTATGTTTAGAGTCTGAGGGGAGGATATTACATTGCATTATCTGTTCATTATCTGGATAGAGTTTGGAAAGTACCTTGCACCAATCTGAAATCCAAACTTTTGGAAACATATAATTGGCCAAGGAATATACTTAAGTGGAACTTAAATGACTGGCAGGCCAGGAGAGGAGGAATATAGTGAGCACATCATGATCTCTTTTTAAAAGTTAGCTACTGTTGACCTGCAGGTGTGTTCATTGCTGATTTTATCCCCCCCGCCCTTCTCTCACATTCCTGGAGTAGACTGGAGTCAGTGATGTGAAACGTTGCTTCTGGCAGCTGCTGTCTTGGCCTGCTGTGAACAAGAATTCTTGCCTGTTCTGTGTGGACAAATATGCAGGGGGACAGAACTGGGGGGGGAGAGTGCAGAATATGAATTCTAGGAACGTGAGGAAGCTGTTGGCTTTCAAGAGAACTTGAGGAAACCTGAAGTTACTGTGACACTTCTGTCCTGTTGTAAGGATTGCCTTCAGCTGACAGTCTCGTTGCAGGTCTATTTTAATCGGAGCGTTACTCAATGTTACACCGTAACATCTTCGTTCTGTGCTCTGCAGTGCCCCCAGGTGACTCCTTTCATTTAAACAGCTCATTGCAGCAATTCCTTTGCAGCAAGTCGCTTTGAAATGCAGGTTTTATATTCAAAGCTAATGGGACACTTGCTAGTGGTACTTGGTTTGGAAGTCCCTGTGATTTCCTCTGTGCCCATAACATTTTGAGTGATCACTACCATCACGCTTTTATGTATAAAAATCAAGGATTTCTCTAATATAACTTTTATTGAGGCATTAGTTGTTTCATCTAAGTTTTGGCTGGATGGTGCTTGCCTGACGTGTGGGGAGGTGTGTGCTCTGGGCCAGTGCTGCACCCAGACTTCCCCAAAAGTTACAGATGAGGTTTTACCTCAGCCACACGGAAGTTGGGGTGTTGCAATGGACTTGGTGCAACAGAAATGCAAGTTGTCCATCTGAATGCTTCGAGGTGGGATGTAGGAACTGAGACTTCTGCATGGCCGTGTCTGGTTTTGGGCCAGCCCAAGCCTCTGGTTATCTGTGAATATTGGTTTCAGTGCTCCCATTTTACTGCTGGAGAAGTTGGCCTTCTGTGGAAACGTTCCTAAAAGGAGTTCAGTGACACTATCAACGAATGCCTCAGTATATGACCCTGAACAAGCCTCTCAATGTGTTTCATCTTATCCATCTCTAAAATTGGCAGCCCAGCAGTTCTCTAGGATGGAAACATGGACAAAGGCTCCAACTCCAATAAAGTGTTTGAAGTGTGCATGTTACAGCACTTACTCAGTAACACCTACAAGGCACAAGGCTTTTAACTATCCTTAGTCTAATTCTTCAAGTCTCTGCAGCTTGAGAGACTCTTGCTCTAGGCTACAGAAGTCTGTCTTTTCTTTCAAGAAAGGCTAAGAGGACCTGGGAGTAGAGGGAAGAGCTCTTGTTTAAGCTCAAAAATGTACTCCGAGATTTTTGGGATACAAAGTTTTAGAAATCTAAATCATGGAGAACTTGAAACTGCGAGTAAGAGTGGATTTTATCTTTCTCACTTGAGTCTGTCTTGTTTATTTCACAGGTGGATGGAAAGCTAGTAGCCAGAGATGCTGGACACCCCCACTACCCCTTCAACGACCCCTATTAAGAACTGGAAAATGAGGTGTTACAGTAACGATCCAGTAATTGCCTTCACACAAAGTAATTGTTGCGACGATTTTTTGACAGTTGCCACTGCCCAAATTAAAACCTTCCTTCCCAAGTGGGTTTTCCTACAATGTACTACTTCTAATCGACCTCCTGCCTGGAGATCCTGTAGCTTCTGTTTCAGAGATTTTGTTTGTGGATTTATCACAATGACTACAAGCTGGCTCCTGGAGGCATCAGATCTTTTGGAGATTAGATAAAGAGTGAGGAGTCTAAGTCAAGTTCCAGACACATCGTTATCAGACAAGGGCATTACTTTGAGTAATTACTTTGGTTACTACTGTGAAACGGTTTTGAAAACTTCAATTGCTACCATGATGAGGGGAAAAAAAGAAGGGTGAAGGTGTGAAAGTTTTTTAAGGCTAAAGAATTGCTCAGCCATCAACTTTGATCTCTTTTATTAATAATTTTTTACACAGGGAATAAAGTGAAAGGTGCTACAATTGCACTATGTCCCTAAATCATTCATTAAAACCCAAGTAATCAGACATGCCCAGTGCTTTTATCCACTTCATAGTACTTTTGGGACCTAGAGTTGTCAATTTTCTCTTTCTTTTAATTTGCCTGTAGATTTGAGCAGAATAAAAGCAGACCCTGGAGCAGGCCTTCAGGGCAATCCTCTCTCTTGCTTGTCACAGTGCTGGGTTTCAGCTCTCACAGCACCTCTGATCCTATCACAAAAGCCACAAGAACTTTGCAGCAAGTCTTGCAGAAAAACATCCTGCTTTTCCTATGAAGGTGTCCAGTATTTCTTGACCAAAGATGTCCATTTTGAGTTCTGGAAGGTCACAAAATTAGTTCCTAATTGCACAGTAAGACCAAAGACCTTTCAGAGCTCCCAGTGTTTTAATGTTGCATTTTTGGTTGCTGCCAAAAAATGTCTTTGGCTGATGCTTAGGAGAGCTGCTCCTGTCTCCTGCTGTACCACTGACCTGCTGGTAACTCGGGGCGAGTCCTTTGCCTTTTGTGCCTGTTTTCCTACTTGCCATGTCTGTGTTCCCCTGGCAGGGACTGATTTGCTGAGTGCTGATGCACCCTTGGACTGGAACTCCAGCTCTTAAGCAGTTTTCTTTTGTGTCAGTCTCCTAATGAACTGGCTGAGCACAAAGGGCATGAGGTGTTGGTACCTACCTGTGCTCTGGTGGTGACACTTTCTGTGGCCTTAGAAACATCAACACTTTATTTTGGTCCTCTCTACCTGTTAAGTAGGATTAATTTTTTTCCCACAGTAATTAGAATTGCTATTGGATTGCTATTTTCCCGTAGCAAGCAATTAGAAAAACAGTCTTGTATATCAAATAGTTCAAAAGTTAAGGAATTAGACGCTTTAATTTGGATACCCTCGTTTGCAATAGGCCTATAGCAGATCTATGTATTCGAGTGTAAAGCTTTCTCAGGTAATTCCTGCCTTGGGCCTCACAGTGTGCAGCTGAACTGCAAAAAAAAGAGTGACACCAATTTATCACTCCTTGTAAACCGCAGGCAAAATTTCAGGAACTTCTGTTGCTTCGTAAAATGCTTCTTAATTCCTCATGAATTTGCCTCAGTGGAGGAAGCCAATCCTCCTTTAGGATTCTTTATTAGACTGGACGTTTTCTCCTAAGGAAAATTAAATTCTTGTTGATATATTTAATTGTTCTACTCAAACATGGTGACTTTGAATACTGTTCTTGTTGCAATCCTGCCAAGGACAGTGGCTTTTCTTGCTTGTTTCACTTGCATGTTTGCTTGTTTAAATAAATTCTGTACTCATTGTATGACTTTGAGACTTTTTCCCTCCCTCTTATTAAGGCCCCAATTAACTTTCTCTAGTTATTTCTCTGAGCAAGAGTACCTAACTGGGCTGGGAGAATTCCCAAGAAAAGCACATTAATGCTGCAGCTCTGTGAACCCCACACTTCCCAGCTCTGTTCCTGCAGGGAGGGACATAGCGGGGCTGAAGCTGGAGAACTTTTACCTTGAAATAGCAGAGCCTGGAGGTCTCGGTGCTGGGCTGTGCTGTGACAGGGCAGCGGCCATGTCAGCCCTGCCTGCTCGTGTGTTCGTGTCGCAGGGGAGAGTCGAGCATCTGCGTTAGCTGGGCACAAACCCGAGTTTGTTCAGAGCCCGGGCCGGGGTGCCAGAGCCTCCCGGGCCCCCAGGCTGGGGCTGAGGGGGTCCCACAGCCGGGCTGAGGGAGCGGGACTGCACCTCCCGGCATGCCCCGCGGGACCCCGCCTCACTCTCCGGCACTACACTTCCCAGCGCGCCCTGCGCGGCGGCGCCCCCGGCGTCCCGCGGCGGGGCGGGCGCGCAGCGTGCCGGGAGCGGTAGTCCCCCTGCGGCGCGCGCGCGCCGCCAGGCGGGCCGGGGCGTGTCCTCGGGGGTATATAGCCAGCCGGAGGGGCAGGGGGCTGCACTCTGCCGCCGCCGCCCCTCTCTCCAGCAGCTTCTATGCAATCCTCGGCCATCGCCGCTCCCCCCTGCGTTGAGCCCGCGCCAGCCTCCCAGACTAGGTAGGGCCGCGCGGGCTGGGCCCGGTTACGGTGTGTGCGTGTCGGGGACGGGGGGCATCAGGGGAGGGGGGGGTGCGCCTTCGGGCCGCAGGGTACCGGAGGGGATGGGGGGTAAGCGGGGCGGTGGGCCGGATTTCCTTAGGGGGAGGGCCGGGGGTGCTGGTCGGGCTGGCGAAGCTGCACCCCCTCCTCCCCCCCTTTCCTCCTCGCCGGCGGTGGTACCTGCGTCCCCCGTCCCCCCCTCGCCGTTTGTGGTACCTGCCTCCGCCGTCCCCCCCCCGCCGGCCGTGGTACGGTGGTACGTGCCGCCGCCCCGCTCCTCCGGCGCCAGCTGGGCCCGCGCGGCTCGCGCGGAGCCCCCACGTGACCGCTGCGCGGCCGCCGCCATCTTTGTTGGGGGCAGCGGACGCCGCGGGGCGGGCTGGGGGGGCGTCACGTGACCGGCGGCCCGTGAGGAGCCGCCGCCGGGGTTTGGCGCCAAGGGCGGGGGGCGGGGCCGGCGGAAGGCGGGAAAGGCCCCATTGTCTGCCCGGGAGCGGCCGGGCCGGGGCTGGCGGAGCCCCTCACGGCCTCCCTCCGCACCGTACACCACACTGAGGGGCCTGAGCCCCTAGCGGTGGATGGGCACCGCTGATCCAGGGCTCCTGGTGCTGCTTTCGCACCCCCCGAGAGCTCAGTTGGTGCCGTGAAGTGGTTGGCCGGTTCTAAACGTGAATAAAAAAACATTCGATTTTCTGTTTTCAGGATGGAAGAGGAACTGGCAGCTCCTTCCACATCCACAGACAAGACAGACAGGTGAGATGGGAGTTGGGATTGTCAGTAGCAAATAACACAGAATCCCGGAGTTACTGTGTGAAAGGCAGAGGTCACCCTTCAGATCCCTTCTTAGACTTGGAGTTTAGCTCCCATGTCTGATGTAGGTGCTGAAAACCTGTGCACACCAGTGCTTTGCACAAATCCACTGCATCAAGGCCTTTTCAGGGATTGATACATACAAAAATGTATCAAGCAGTTCTTGAAGTTTTTGGGTTTTTAATTAGTGCTGGAGAGGTACAAGTATGCAGCTGGCATGTGATACATGGTGTTCCTCTGTGGGTGGCTCCTCTTGTCCCAGTCGGAGGTGCTGGGCTGGACCTGGAAATGAAGCTGTGCAAGATGCACTGAACTGAAACTGACGCTTGCATCTGTCATTCTTGTCAGATGCACCATGCTGTGCTATGAAAAATTTTAACTTGAGTTTAATCTTCTTTTTCTTGATCTAGCATTGGAGTCTGGAGCACTGGTGCTCCATGGTGGGTTGGTGTGCAACTCCTAAAGTATATTTTTTAGCAGCCTTTGTCACAGCAGGTTGTGATACTTGTTGCAGTGATTGGATAAATTTGCCTGTGTTCCCTTGGTTATTGGAACTATCAGCTGTTTCAGATTTACACACACAAAACCAAACAAATTCCACCTACTCTGGTAATTCCAACCACTGTAATGTATGCAACTCACTATTCCGTAAAGCAAACTAGGTTTTGAAAGCTAAAGTTACTGTGAAAACTAACAGAATCCTTTATTTGATTTATTTTCCCTTCCTCTAGTATGGATGTGGATGGAGAATCAAAGAAACTATTGGGTTTGGGACAGAAGCACTTGGTAATGGGAAATATTCCAGCTGCTGTGAATGCATTCCAGGAGGCTGCAAGCTTACTGTGAGTAGTAGAAGGTTCTGTGTGTTTTTGCTGGGCTTGGGCTTCAGCTTGGCTGTTCTGGTGTGGATTATGCAAGAAAGATTGGGATTTTTACATAACATGTTTATAATTTATAATGCAGCTGTGGAGGGGACAAGCTATTTAAAGTCACCCAAGAGTTGGACAGTGCTGTAGTTGGTGTGCAGTTTAGGTGGCTTTTGTGATAAGCATTACCAGCAGAGTTCCCTAAGGAGGGAAAGGGGTTTGATAGTTTATTATGCAGGTGTCTTCTCTTGTAACTTGTTCACTAGTCTTGGTCAGTCTTTCTGAATGGTACTATTTGGGTTACAGATTAATTTCCTCAGTTGGATGTTTGAAGCCATATGTAATTGAGAGAAGCATTCAATATTTGTTTAAAACAATGGGAAGTAAGCCAAGAAAGTGGTCCTTTTGTTAGGATAGGAATATTTAATGTTCAAGTTCACATATCCAAATCTAAAGCAGGCACAGGCAAATAATTCTTTATTATTTTTGTAGGGGTAAAAAGTACGGTGAGACAGCGGATGAGTGTGCAGAAGCTTTTTTTTATTATGGAAAATCTCTCCTGGAGTTGGCAAGGTATGGTGACAGTTTGTCATTTGGTGAGGAGTGTGTCTGTTGCAACAGGATTTCACTCCTTTATGGGCAGGACTGTCCTGGGTGGGATGGGCTGTGGCACTGCAGCTTGTGCAGTTCAAATAATGGTATTATATATCCAAGGGATAACAAACTCCTATTCCCTTTAGAATGGAAAATGGTGTGCTGGGAAATGCCTTAGAAGGGGTGCAGGTGGAAGAGGAAGGAGAAAAAGCAGAAGATGACTCTGCACTGCCAGCTGCTGATGGTATGTAAAGCTGCCTGCCCTGCCGTGGAGGCCCCAGGCTGTGGTTTTTTTGTTGGAATGATCCAAGTTTAGTCCATTGGTATCTTGGGTAGCCTGAATCATTCTATTGAAACTCTTGGCAGTCTGAATGGACTCTGTTTCTGTTTGGTTTTTTTTTAGTCATGCTTAAAGATGAGCAAAATCTGTAAAACATCTGCAAGGAGCTGGTCACTGAAAGCATGTGTAAAGGGTCACCAGGCGTCCGTGTCCTGAACACTGCATTCAAACTTGCTTTCTTGAGCTTCACCGCTGATCCCACTGCTTTGTAACCTTGTAGCAGTACAGTGTGTGTAGTCCCAGGGGTCAGAGTCTCTGTACAAAGTCCCAAGAACAGTGGCTATTTTATGCTGCCTGCAGCTGGAGAGGATACAGGGATTCCTGTCCATCCAGACTGTTAAAGCACTGGCACCTCTCGCTATGCTGTGACTAAAATCGCTGCACAACCGCACACTGCTTGAGCGGCCGCTTGCAATGCTGCAGTCTGGGGAAGGGGAAGGGACTTAGATCAAGCAGCTATGTTGGTTGTCTCCTAATTCCTTGTACTTGGAAAATGAAGCTTTTAGGAGTGTCATCCAACTTGGTAACAAACCAACACACTGGAGGGTCTTGAGGGTGGTGTTGTCAGTGCTCGTTAATGTCTTTATCACTAAACTCGAAGAAATGTTTATGCTTCCTCAATCATGTAGAAGAAGCAAGGGAGGAGTTGAGAGAACAGGTTTATAACGCCATGGGGGAAAAGGAAGAGGCCAAAAAGTCCACGGAAGAGTCTACAGTACTCTCTGAGAAGGAAATCAAAGAAGAGGATGTTGAAATGAAAGAGACTAAAGAAGAACCCAAAGAAGCAGCTGTTGACAAGGATGCAAAGAAGCCCGAAGAGGCTGAAGAGAAGATTGAGATTTCTGTGGGAAAAGAAGAAACTTCAGAAGAGCAGAAGAAGCAGGTGCCTGTGAATGAGGAGGCAGCTGTGGAAGAGAAGGAGGTAGAAAAAGAGCAGAAGACAGTGCAAGAGGACAAGGTAGAGAAGGCAACTGAGGAGGAGAGAACGACAGAAGAGTCAGACAAGGAGGGAAAGGCATCTGGGGAAGAGGCTGAAGCAGGAGAAGTGGCTGTGGAAGAGAAGGGAGAGACGGGAGAACAGGCAGCAGAAGCAACAGAAAAAGAGCAAGCTGTGGAGAAGGGAGAGGCTGTAGAAGGGCAGGCTGAGACAGCTGTGGAAGAGAAGGCAGAAGCACAGGCAGCAGCTGCTGTGGAACAGAAAGAAGCTGCAGAAGGGGATGGAGAGGAGGCTGAACAGAAGAAGGCAGAAGAGAAACATGAGCCAGTAGAGACAGTTACAGAAGAGAAACCAGGTGAATCTAAAGAGACAGAGTCCTCAAAGGAGCCTGTGCCCACAGAGGGCAAAGAGCCACCTAATGACATGAAAGAAAAGGCTGAAGTTGCTGCTAAGGTAGAGAAAGAGGAAAAGAAATGTGACCTGATTGAAGAGGGTGAAGGTGCTAAGGTAGAAAAAGAAGAGAAAGATGACCTGATGGAAGAGGGAGAAGGTAACACTGAGAGGCAAAAAATACTTGTGGGTGGATGACTTGATGGATTTGGCTAACAATGGGTAAAAAGTGTTCCATTCAGAATTTTCTGTTTGCCTTAGAATAAGGAAAAGGCACAGTA